AGATAGAGAGAGAGAGAGAGAGAGAGAGAGAGAGAGAGAGAGAGAGAGAGAGAGAGAGAGAGAGAGAGAGAGAGAGAGAGAAAGAGGGATAGAGAGAGGAGAGAAAGGGAAATCGAGTTGGTTAGAGAGAAGACGATTATAAGCAAAAGTTTAAGTATGAATGTGACAAATTCGTACGTGGTAGGTACTATCTGTGGCTACTGCTATGCTATATGTACGCTGCATTCTACTTCGTATTACTATAAGTACCAAACTGTTATTCAATATTTATTATACGTGTTCCTCGTTTACGTAGCCGGTACCCTCTACTCGTAATGCGACTGATTTTAAAACTACGAAAAACAAAGAGATGTACGCGAGACCGGCGATAGAGACAAATGCGTAGCAACGACAAAACCCGCGTGCAAGAGACAAGAGATTAATTATTGTTTCACGTCGACAGGACACCGGCTCGCAGAGTAACTCGTCTAGGACTTTCTGTTAATAGTTTAGTTTTTCGTTACCGCCGCCGCAACAGTTCCGTTCCTCCGTCGTTCTCTTGCGTTTGCAAACCGAAAACCGCGTTTGTATTGTAAACCGTCTCGCAGACTCGTTCCGTAACACGCATAAACGCGTCGACACGTGGCTGGCGCTCAACAAGTGAGCGCGGTGTGTGTGTGTGTGTGTGTGTGTGTGTTGTCCGATAGCTTCCGCGCTGTATTTTTTACGAAAAAAAACTATGGTAGAACGTGTCCGGCTCGGAAACGATCGGATTTTCATTATTTCTTTTTCTGTTACTTTTTGTTCGCCGTTTTTAATTCTCATTGGAACAAGAATGTGTACCGTATGGAAAAAGAGAAAATCAAAGCGCATATTTCGTTCCTCTCGAATTCTCGTTAGTCCGTTCCCTCTTGTTCGTTTTGTTTGTCAGTCGATCGATCGCGATCGCTAACGGTGAAAACTATTGTGCACGGTTCGACGATGTGTCTTTCCCCTTGCGGACAGACTAGCAAAACACTCGGGATGCATCTGAATAAAAACGATACGATGGAGAGAGAAAGAGAGAGAAAGAGAGAGAGAGAGAGAGAGAGAGAGGAAGAGAAAAATTGAACCACCCCCGTTTGCATTTCAAGCGTGTGTCTATCAACGTCGCCCATTATTTCTCCGTCTCGCCAGGTAGATTATGGTTGTCTGTAACAATGACCCGGCTGACGAGCCGAGAAACGCCGCCAACATGTCAATGATCGTTTTCTTTTTTTTCTGTTCTGTTCTCCTCTGTAAATAATCGTCACACACGAGTAATTGTACCGCATTACAAGTAAATGTTTGTAATTCCGAAGTAACTGGATACAAAAAAAACTGCTCCGATGTAACGTATACTATTGCATGGATTCCTAAGCAATGAACGAAAAAAAAAAAACAAAAAGCGAAACGCACGTGACAAAATGATGTACGTGGCAGGAGAACGTGTCAATAGTTATTTATAATAAACGAATATTACCACGCCAGCTCGGTAGTATTTCTCTGTCGCATTTTCTGTCTGTCAATTAGAACACTGTCGTACACCTGTTCCTAAGATACAGTCCGCTCTTCTGACTCGAGCCAGATGTCTAATTAAAAATTTTTAATATTACAAGTGACTATTGCCTATTGCTTTATAAGAATAACAGGTATAATTGCTGAATTTATTTAGACTTTTTGCCATGTTTGTTATAAAGTATGCTCGAATTAAGAAATCTATTCAACCATTCTCTATGAAAGGGTCACTATAATTCCAGCAATTCTAAAATAAAAAAAAAAGTGAAATAAGTCATTTTGACAGGAAATTCAACTTAAATATTGTAGATCGAAACTTAACAGTTCAAGAATGAAAGTTGATAATTCAAGGTCGATGGTTGAAGATTAAGCATTTTTTCAATACACCGTTCGGTGAAAATAAAAATAATTATGTTGTCAATGCGTAATGGCTGCCAACGGGCAACCGGTCGGTGAAGTCACGCGCATGTGACAGCGGCCATTAAGGCAAGTTTCATTTTGAATAATTCCGAGTTTCATCTAGGTCCTTGGAACATTCACATTATTTTTCTGATTCCCGTTGCATCTCTGATTCCACCCCCGCATCGTCACCACCGTTTCTCCTTCTCTGTGCCTCTCTCTCTCTCTCTCTCTCTCTCTCTTTCTCTCTCTCTCTCTCTCTAGCCGAGGAGAAAGGAGGGTAAGCGGAAGATTTATTCGGCCATTTCCCGCAAGATGTATGCCGGCAATTTCGCAAACCTCACCAGGCGCGAACGCACCGTGATTTATGCCGGAATTTCTCGGCTCGAAATTAGAAAAATCGCGAGTCGTTCGGTCAATTCGCGTGCCAATTTGTCACGAGCCTGCCTGTGCCGGTCCAGGCCCGACCCGTTCCGACCCGTTTCGAATCGCTTCGACCCGCGCCGAGTCCTAAATCGGGGGCTAGACCGGCCCGTGTGCCGAAGTGGAAAATCATTTTCTGCCGTAGGTTGCCTCGGCTACCCCCATATGTTGCTCGCCTCGCAGAATATTAAATTTTCTGAAATTCCCGTGACGCGAAACGCCACGGGCGAATGCTCGAAATTGATCCAGAGGCGTCGCACGCTACAGGCAGCCTGCAAAACGCTTCACTTTCGAATACATTCTGCTGGATTTTCGATCAAATTTCCCACCCCGCGCACCGTTCTTCGCATACCTTCACGGTGCTCGCAGATTCCTGGTATTCTACTAGTCAGTCGTTGTACCCCACTTTTTCATCCCCCAAGACCCAATACGGTACCAAACTGTATTCGCAGCGATTCTTTTCCTATTCTTTGTTCTGCTGATTCTGGTCTTGTCGATGATTAACTGTACATTTATTAAATAAGGCATACTAGTTCATTCTTTTATTTTCACTTCTATTTTATTATTTATTTTATTCTTTTATTTTTTAACTTTTTATCGATCGAGTAAGATGCATTAAATCTTTTTATTCAAAAATAAGCAAAATAAAAGAATATAATATTCGATAAATATAAAGTTAATTATGCCCGAAAACAAATCAAAGACACGGTAACCGGTTCCATTACCTGAGGTCAGGCATGGACGAATCGCGGCTCGTGAACTAAATCTGGCTCTTTCACACTTTTACGGCTCTCCGTGACTCGTTCCTCGCACATCCATGCGACACGAAAAACGATATGGCATTGTTTCTTCTGTTGCTCTACGCGAGGCTGCCTATGTTATACAGGGTGTCCTAAAATTATATTATTTCCGGGAACGAGGGGTTCCTGAGGTAATTTGGAGTAATTTTTTCCTTAGCGAAAATGTAATCCGCCGTTTCGTTTACGACTTATTAACGAAAAACCGTGACCAATAAGAGGCGAGCTCGACTAGCGCTAGGCGATGGAGCCAATTAGCGAAACTGGGCTCCGTGCACTCGTTGGCTGGCTCGCCTCGCGCCAGCCGAGCTCGCCTCTCATTGGTCACTGTTTTTCGCTAATAACTCGTAAACGAAACCGCGGATTGCATCGTCGCTAAGGAAAAAGTTACTTCGAATGATCTCAGAAACCCCTCATTTCCCGCAAGTACGTATAATTTTGGGACACCAAATTTGTACATTTGAACACCAGATTAGTAGTAGTAGAGCGTGTGACCCGCGGCCGAAATGACTCGTTCATACCTGCCCCAGGTGTTCCATGACACGCGCGTTTCTTCTACAAATCAGCCAAACAGGCAAACCCGGTTAGCAATTGGAAGCTAGAAGGTCAGTTTCCCAGTGATTCGGGCATCGGACAGGAAACGAGGACGGGGATGAATAGCGACGGCAGGAATTACGGCGAGCGAAGTATAATAAAACGATCGTGGATGTGCGATGGCGCGTCGCCGCCGTGATGGGCGTGCTTGCGGCACTGATTTAATTGCACGGAACTGGTCCGGTGCACGCGCGACTCGCGCTATTCCGTCGGGTACAGCATGCACACACCTGCTGCGAGAGCTGCAACCGTCCAAGTGCACGTGCCACCGTTTAATATAGAAACAGGGGCCCCAGTGCCACGGATGAAATTTCGCGTCGGGTTTAACGTCATAAATCAGACCGCACACGCCGTGTACCGTGTCCTCTCCGTTCATTTTCCTTCGCACCGATGCGATGCCCGACACCATCGATCCGAACAGTCGAGATACCAATCGAAACGCCACCCCGGAGACCAATAGTTTAGGCGGAGCTGTTCTTTCATTTATCAAAAACA